CTTGATCTGTCCTATTAACCAAGTGATTGATACTTGGTTCTTGCTCAAGGGTGGCTTCCCATCATCCGCAACGCCACCCTCTTCTGTGTTTGGCACGATCAACCCCAAAGCACCATAGAGCAAAGATTGCCAACTGTTGAGATCCTCTACTTTGAAGGCGATGGATGATCTTTCACAGTCACTTCATCGCCATCAATGGGCAAATGTGTTAGGATGGCGATGTCCTTCAACGAGATGGTGCACTCTCCTTCGCGAAAGTTGAATTTGTGTGTCTCTTGCACCATCTCTCCACCAATGATGCGATAAGTTAACCGTCGATCTTGATGCCAATAAAGTGCCTCGTCGTCTCCGAACCTTGGCCTTTTGAGATAGGGCAAGATAACACTGTGATATGGGAGCACATTGATCGTACCCCTATGGCGGAGAATATGGTGTGCACTCTACAAAATAAATTTAAATCATAAGTTTATGACTTATAAACACATAAATCCATTATAACAAACAATTGAAATTAACAAAATGAATACCATTTGCAAGATGTACACATAAATCCATTATAACAAACAAATTCAATTAACTATAATGAATATCATTTGCAAGATATACACTAAATCCACTATACCATTTTTTAAATCGTATTGGTTGTTTTCAATGATTTAAGCCAATATATACAAGTGAACTTATTAGACTCTTAGGAGAGGTATAAATCTCCTTAGAAACACATCTTTTTTTACAGAAAAGGGCGGATCCGAGGATCGCTTAAAACCCAATTTTCCCAGAAAATGGAGAAATTATGATGATCATTTAAGAGTTAAAACCCCCCAATTTCTTAGGCACGCATCTTTTTATACAGAGTCTAAGTAAGTGTCACATTGTATTAGCCCAAATCATTGAAACCAATATCATTAACCATTTACAAAATTATATTCTAAACCACCAAGTACGTTAACAAAATAAATTATGACAAAGGTTCAAGAATTATATGTACCGGTAAATTGTTCCATACATCCCTTGAACAATGGTTAGGTTGGTCGTATAGAACACTTGGATCATGGGTCTTTGGTTAAGATAATATCTTTGATCATATATATCTACATTCAAACCAATCTATAATAGCATAACAAAAAAGGAATTAATTAGTATATAGATTAATTAACAAAAATGATAAGAACTAAAATAAAGAGAAGAATGAGTATGTACCGCTTGAAAGTTATCATAAAAAAAATTCTTGATAGTGTCAATCTTGGTCCATTTTTTACAGAAGGCGAATAGAGGTTCGACGTGTTTCGGAGGAAAAAACTAAAGAAATGTTTTCTTATGGCAGTTCAGACTTAGCCGCAACCAGAGCATACGATAATTTCTTAAATTTTGGGTGGAGTGGGGAATAGGTGAAGACAAAATCTTTGAGAAAGAGAGAGAGAAGCGAGAAGGCTTGTGCTGAGAAAATGAAGAGAGGAGGGCTGCTTTAATAGGCTGTGGGGGAGCGGTTTGGGCAGATGACGCACAGATGGAGGGAGCGTTAGTACGGATCGCTGATGTGGCGAACGACCAGCCACTAGATCGGGGGGATCCAACTACCAATTCGACTGCAGCGCCCCACACATTCAGTTAGCGGCAGAAATGGAAACCACAACACCCCCCCATGTCGTCCTTGTTTTAACCTACATGGGTAGGGCTAGGATTCAGAATTTCGGGTAGCTACGGTTATCAGTTAAACCGTTACCCGAGCAATAACAATTGTCGGATGGGATTTTTGGGGAGATGGTATACCGGAAGCCGGGTGGTAAGTATCTAATGGAAACCTGGTTGTTTTATACCAAACTTGTAGGGCGACCGATATCCATCAGCAATTACGATGAGGATTCATCGATTCGGCTAATAGCCTATTAGGAAAAGGAATTAAATCACTAAATTAAGTAATATACTGTGCTCTCTCCCCTCTCGCTCTTTATTTGCCTAACCTTCACGACTCTCGCCGCCCGATTGGAACCCCAATTGTTGTCCTCTCAGACGGCGGCGCACTCCGATCGACGAATCAGGACGCAGTAGCCCAGCATCGCAAGTTCACAACGTCTCCATCGACCCGGGCGTCGTGTACTCTCCATTGACCCTAGAGCGCTCGGCCACGTTGCCAGCGCAGCTTCCCCAACCCAACAGCCCATAACATCTTTCAGCCTTCAGGTTTGTTTGAGTGATGGTGATTTACTGATTTTTATGGTTGTTGTATAATGATAATGCTGCACAAGTTCTATGTTTCCCCCGCCGTAACTTAAATTGTTGTTTGTTTGTTATGGTGATTTAATGATTAAAATTCCGATTGTGGAGTGTATGTTTTGAAGGGTGATTCGGGTCTAATGCACACATTTTACCCCTCATTTTTTAATAGTTTGACTTTGCATTTCATCGTATCTCGACCTATTTTACTCTAGGGTATGTTTGTTTTTTCATATTTCAGGTCCTAGCACGTGTGGGAAGGTCGAGGATGAGTTTCAGGTCGATTGGAGGTCGAAAAGCGCGAAAAGGTGAAGAAAAGTCCAAAGTCAGACCGTGACAAATGCCCCGAGACCGTGAAGTGTGGAGGTTCCAGACAAGTTTTCGGTCTCAATGGACTCAAGCCAATAACCGTGAACTGAGTTAGTGAAGCTGTGCGTTTTGGCCAGAGATCACGGTCCTCGCCTTGAGTTCATGGTCGTGAACTGTGATCGTGATCTGAGCCTGATCTGGATATAAAAGGGGTGTCGCAACCGTCCCTCCGGGGGTCGGGGTCGCATTTTCTTTTTGAAGTCGCCATCGATCTTACTTGGAGTGGATCGAACACTCTTAGGTCGGCTCTAACCTTAGGGTCAGAACTGAGACATGGTCTGCGAAAATAAAGTTATGGGTTTGAGAGTACGGTTACGTGTGGGGAAGTTGAGCACACCCCCACAATGCCCTAAATCGGTACTACCTAAATTGATAATTTTATACGAGTTGGGTGTGTTTTAGTAATTATGTATTTTTTTATCCCAATGGACCACTACAGTATTGCTATTTCATTAGGCATACTGGACAATTAATGAATTTAAAAATCTTATTAGTTGTAATTTAATTATATGCCCATTAACGTAAAATTAAAAGATATATTTAATTGGTTAGTTGGACTCGAACCTTATCGGTTGCCTACATACCCAAAATACGAGATCAAAGTCCACGTAGTTTGTTAACTCTAATAAATTTAAATGTGACTTTTACCACGTTCCACTGATCATGGTTCTCGTATTAAAGATATTTCAGTAATTAAATTTAAATTAATTATTATGAATTAGGAAAAGAGAACAAGAGGATTTCAGTTGTTATGAAGATATTTGACGCATTAGAAAGGAAACAGGATTAACATAATACGCATTCCAAATTTCGTAGTAAGGATATTAAGTAATAAAAGAAAACGGAATGATTAGACTAACGCATGATGGGCCAGCAGCCCAATTGGTTAAAAATTCGAAATTCGGTGTCTAGAAATTTTTTGTGATCGGCATTTTGATTCAGAGACGCGGGAGGGTATCTTCGTAAATCCACCTAAACACGGTGGCAAGGCCACGTAAATAATTAGAAACCCTAACACTCTGTTTGGCAACGAGGGGGGTGCAAATCGAAAGAGGGTGCAAATTGAGGGGCAAATTGAAGGGGGGAGCAAATTTAAAGTAGGCATAAATTAGAGGGTAAATTATTGTTTGGGAGAAAAAGTAAGAGGGTGCAAATAGGTATAGGATTGTATTTAATTAATAATATTTTATCAGAAAAATAATAAAAAAATCAAAACTCTATTATTTTTACCTTCCTCGTTTATCTCTCCCACTCTCTTTCTGCGTTGAGCATTCCTTTTTTTCTCCCATAAAACCTCCCATAAAAAAAGCATTCTTTTTTCCCCTTTTTCTCCGACTCTCTCACCTAAAATCGACCAGACTTCCCCAATTATCATCTTCTTCCTCTACCTTTCAGCCTTTGCATATCCTTCTCTGATTTCTCTGATACTCTCTCTTCCTCTCTCTCTCTATCTCACCAATCCATTCCCTCAAGCTCTCCGGCCGCCGCCGTTGATCTTTATCAGAGGGGATCAGAATAGCGACGATGAGAAGCTACCGGCAAGAGTGAGGGATCAGAATCCTAGATCCAGTAAGTTTTGGGCGTTACCGGTGGCGGTGGCGGCTTCTCTCTCGTGCCAGCGGAGACGGATTCAACGAAGGCAAATTTGACGGATGCAAGAAATGATAAGTATGAAAAAAAAAAAGTGAGAGGTCGTTCACCCTTTCTCTCTCCTCTTCCGCCCCAATTTGGGGTGCACGCTCCAACAGTAAATTTGCTCCTTTTTTCCTACGCCCCCCTACTGTTGGAAAGTTTGCCAAACAGGCACAAACGCTTTGGGAAGGGCATTTACCCCTGTCATTTACTCCCCCCTTCATTTACGCCTCTTTCCAAACAGAGCGTAAGGGTAATTAGTCATTTGCGGGTAAATATAAAAGCATCTCTTAAGACGAAAACAAACCCAAATCAACAAACACCAAAACGGCCGCCTCAACTCCTCTCTCTCGGGTAATTATCATAAATGGTAATAAACTTATTCAATTTGTACAAAACGGTAACAATTCTTTAATTTTGTACGTTTTGGTAAAATAAGTTTGAGTGAATAACGAATTGGTCAATCCGTCCACTTCCGTCCAAAACTCCGTTATCCTTTGCCCAGTCACTATGACATATCATTGAAAATATTAATAAAAAGTTAGTTCATCACCCAATTGACCCGCACAACCCAACCGGCCGTATCATAATACCCACCCCTTCTCGAATTGGAGAAAGTCAGCTACTTGCGGGAGAGAGGGGCGATCGGACCAGAAGATAACCATGACAACTTCTACCTTAATCTTTCTGCCACCTCTTTCGCGCCGCCCACCAAGTTCCCCGTCGCTCCCTCCCTGATTCCGACCGGAGAGCACTTCAACCGGAAGAATCTGCTGGTCACGAGCATGACCGTCGCGGGGGCGATGATCGGCTTCGTTCTGCTTATAGGAATCTTCTGTTTAGTTCTTCGAATGTGCAGACCGAGGCGGCAGCGCAGGTTTCTGACCTTCAGTTGGCGGCGGCGGGATCCGTCGACTGTTTTGCTACACAGGACGATTTCATCGCGGAAGATCATGGCCCTGTGATTGATCAGCCGATTTGGTACATCCACACCGTGGAACACTCGAAAATCGAATTAATCGCGGTGTTCCAATACAGACTGCTCTGTTTGCCTGAGCGAGTTTGAAGAAGGCGAAAGCTTGAGGTTGTTGCCCAAGTGTAGCCACGCTTTCCACATCCCTTGCATCGATACTTGGCTTAGATCTCACAAAAATTGCCCACTCTGTCGCGCCCCGATCGTTGCCGCCGATGCGAATTCCAGAGCTGTTGCTGTTCAAGCTGTTGTTGTAGGGTCATCGATGAATCTCAATTCCGGGGAAAATTCTACAGTAGAGAATTTGGAACCTACAACTCTAATAACTGCACCGGAGGAGGAGCGAGAGGGTGAAGTGAGTCTTGGTAGTGGTGAGTGGTGACAATAGTAGCAATGAACCGGACCTTTCAGATCATTCAAAGAGATTGATGGTAAGGAGCAGTCTTTCGTGGGTTCCAAGCGATGTGTTCGAACGAGGGAGAGAAGGGGCAGGGGATTTGCAGGGGTTGAGGCGGTCGCTGTCGCTGGATTCGTCATCAGCAATGGCGATTTACAGGGCGGTGGAGAATATCGAAGTAGAAGATGAAGGAAAAGGGAAGACTTTGGGTACGGTCGGTTGGGTTGTTGGTGTTAATTAGGATGGTTAACTTATTTTTTATTAATATTTTAATGACATGTCATGCTGACTGGGCAAAAGATAACGGAGTTTTGGACGGAAGTGGGCGGATTGACCAATTCGTTATTCACTCAAACTTGTTTTACCAAAACGTGCAAAATTAAAGGATTGTGACCGTTTTGTACAAAGTGAATAGGTTTATGACTATTTATGATAATTACCCCCTCTCTCTCTATCTCTCTCTCTACACTCTCTCCCTCTCACCTCTCTGTTCTTCCGCCAGAGAAAGAAACCAAGAGAACCACTCTCTTCTTCCCCATCTTCTCCTTTCTGAAATCAGAGAAGAAAACCAACGAACCCCCTCTTCTCTCCCTCGCCTTTCCTTCTTTCATCCCATTTTGCTCCGTTCGAACCACAAGGTCGATGACGAATCGCGACAAGATCTCGGCGATGATAGCGACATGCACCGCCGGCGACGACAAAAATGGAGTTTTGAAGGTCGTTTTCTCTTTATTCATGCGATTTCTGCTATTTTTGGATCTGATTTTAGGGTTTTTGAAATTCTTATCCCTATTTCTTGTCTTTTATTTCCAGAAAACCAACCCAGAGCCGAGATGGGTTCTCGATCTGCCTTTCTGGTTGGGACCGCGACGATGGTGAGAAGAGACGACCTGAACTACATAAAATCGACTAGAGAGATGGCAATCCAGGTGATGTTTTCACTAACATGTTATTTTTTATTCGATTTTAGGTTTAGTTTGAGTTATGATCATATTGTATTTGTTTTGGAACGAGAAGGGGGAAAGGGGAGAGTCGCCAGATGACGGTTGCCCTGCCTGCGACGGGAGCCGAAAAAGAAAATAACAGAGACGATAGATTTGGTTTGAGGTGAGATTTTATGGATTTTAACATTGGTTCTAGGGTTCCATTTTGGTTTCTCAGCAAGGGAAGGAGAAGAGCAGCGAACTGAAAGTCAAAAGCGGCAGAAGGCTTTATTGATAGCGAGGGGGATATTTCGGTAGGTATTTCCTCTTGTTCGGTTTTTGTTAATCCATGAGCCTAGTCGAATCTAGATTATTCCTATTAGTTGACAGTATAGACTTTAGATATGTGTGGTTCGCCTATGTTAAGAGGACAAACCAAGGGTCTTTGGCTAAATTTTAACTATTAAAAGGATATTATAACATCACAGCCACTGCTCATGACGAAATGATGAACATCAGCACTTATTAACTTAACGATTAACTGTGTTTCATCATTCTTGCCTCTATATGGTGACCAACACTAGAAGGTTGTTATTTTTGTAGTTTACTGAACTTAAAATAAGTTCTAAGTTATGATATTTATTAAATCGACCCTGGACTGAGATCTGAAACTTAGGTGGGTCAATAGAGCCAAATGTAAACTAAATTAGATGTCTAGATACACGAGTATAAAGGATTAGCAATCACGGAAACATATCTAGCAGAAGCACACGGATACGAACTACTTCTTGTTTTGTCCGTTGTATGCAAATCAGATCATCATGCTCATGCTAGTTATGTTCTTATAGGTTAGCTCTTAGCATGAGTTTCAAATAAAAATAGCAAGCGGAAGCAAAGTAGGTCTCTAGTGAAACCATATGCATATTGATCTATTCTATTTATACTGATCTACCAAGAGGAACTAATAGAAACAAGGTGACTATCGGCTTGATATTTGGGGATTAGGGTTTATACGAACAGAATTAGGGATTGAGATGGGGAATTAGGGGAGGAAGAACATAATAAGAATCGACCGAAACCTTGTACTAGGGAAGAAGAGAAATTAGGAGCTAGGGGAGAACTTAGGGTTTGGGAAGATAATTCTTTTATTAACTTCTGCTTAATTGAACAAAAGACCTAGAGTACATATTTATAACGAAAAACTCGAAAATAGACTAACCTAATATGACTCAAATACTACTAACCTTAACAATAATCCTAATAATAAATATATAATGATAATAACAGTAATAATAGAAACCGCAGGTTTCTATCATACCCTCCCCCTTGAAATCAACCTTGCCCTCAAGGTTAACCAAATTGACATCTTCCTCTGTCGTGATCATGCAATCCGCGCGTCGATTCGCCCACTCCTCGTGCTTTCTTTTCTTCCAATCATGCTCCATCTCCAAAGTCATTGAGCCCAATTCATACTTCAGCCCAAACTCTAGCTTCCACTCCGCCCCCATCTTTCTCAGCTGCGACCCGATAATTGGTCCAAACAGAGCCCAAATTGCGAAATTCTCCACCCCAATCGACTGGTTTAGCTGACCCCTTCGTCCAAACCCATCAAGAAGATCAGCCCAATTCATTCTGCCCAACGGAATGTGCTGCTGTTGTAGTGCTTCCAAGGATAGCGACCTAGGGTTCGTGAGAAGAGGACCCCAGCCGCCACCAACCTGAGACTCACAAGTACGCCTTGCTGGTCTTCCCTTATGCTTAGGACACTTGGAGAAATTCCAACACAGCAATCCCACCTCTTATACATGTTGCCATTTCTTCCGAAACTTCCACAAAAGCAATTGTAGTTGGACCCCTCTACTCCTCTCGACAAACATAATTACAACAGCCAATGTGATTCGTATACTAATACCATTAATTATAGGTGAATGCATCCCCTTCCCTTGGGGTACAGGGACCCAAGCCACCTTAATTACTTTATGATTTATCCCACCAACTCGATTAAATCCATCAACTAACAAAAGAAATTGATTATTAGTTGAGGTTCCCGAACCTTTGCAAGGAAGCCAAGACGTAGCAACCTCCGTCTCCTTAGGAGGATCAGTTGGCCTAGCGCCGGCGTCGCCTACAATCAATTCAGTGACAGTTGACGAATCAACCATGAACGGCGATTGTGGAGGGGTCATCAGCTCCTTTGTTGATCTATTGATAATAGGCGTAGTAGTAGCTGCGACCTCTACGGCCACGGAAGCTTCTTTTCTCAGCTGTTCGCTGGTGTGGACGCTGGGTGACAATGGTGGATTGATTGGGTTCACCTGCGCCACCTCCCGTTCTGCCTCTGCCGCGCGGCATTCCGTTGCAGTGGCGCCCTCGGCCGCCGCCTCGGTTGCCGTCGCCGATGCACCAGGCGGTGGCTCGACCCCCATCGCCCACCCCCGCGCCAGAGCCATTCGATCAAGTGCGTCGATTGCTTGCTGTAGTTGTTGGTTGATTTGAGCCCACTCCAGATCAGAGAGCTATGACGAGCTCATGTTGGCTCTAATACCAAATGATAGAAACATGGTGACTATCGGCTTGATATTTGGGGATTAGGGTTTATACGAACATAATTAGGGATTGAGATGGGGAGTTAGGGGAGGAAGAACAGAATAACAATCGGCCGAAACCTTGGACTAGGGAAGAAGAGAAATTAAGAGCTAGGGAGAACTTAGGGTTTCGGAAGATAATTATTTTATTAACTTCTGCTTAATTGAACAAAAGAAGGCAGAGTTCATATTTATAACGAAAGACTCAAAAAACCTAATAGACTAACCTAATATGACTCAAATACTACTAACCTTAATAATAATCCTAATAATAAATATATAATGATAATAACAGTATTAATAGAAACCGCAAGTTTCTATCAGGAACATTCATTTACACTTTTAGCTACATTCATATTAGGTGAATACAATGATCATTTGTATATATGTATGAAATATGAGATGTGTTTGGATTTGAGAGATACCAACCTGGAACTGTGAAGAGTTGTAGGCTGATTTTTGTTGGTTGCTTGTTTGCTTGCTGCCTTCTGTTTCCCAGTTCCTCCTTGCTGCCTCTTGCTTGCTGCTTATTCTTTCGGTTTTGTTCTCGAGCATCAGCTGCCCTTGTTTCTCTAATTCTCTCTCTTTTGTGGTCACTCCTTGCCTCCCCTTTTTCTCTTTGGTTTTTACCGACCCCCCTTTTTTATGGTAAGAAAGCCTTTTTAAATTCCTCTTAGCTCTCTTGTTAATTATTTCTTGTGTGTTGGTATCTATGATGACTAATGAGTGTGGTCTGTAAGTGGTGGCTGCCTCTTCCATTTTGAAGAACGAAAAGGCAGCAGTATCTCTTTTGCTTGTCCTTTCGACAACAAAAAAGGACAATTTTGGGTTGACCAAGTTTGACTCGAATTGAGCTGGGATGGGCTCAAAATTGGTGTGCTTGAACTGGTTTTCAATTTGGATCTAGTTCTAATTACTTTCTCTTTCCTTCTGCAGGTTTGCGGCTTGTTTGAGCACCAAGGAGATGGGCTTCAAGCCTTGTTTGGGTTTTCATTTTATATGGGGTTGTATTTCGTTTTATTTTTGTATCTGTTAGCAATTGTGTGTAAGAGGCTAAGAGCCCACTTAATTATAGTTAAGATTTTATTTCACTGATGTACAATGAAGCTCACATGTTATCCCTATCAATTTCATCCTTTGCTTTATCAATTATTAACCAAAACAAACTAACGACATCCACCAAACCTTAGCTTATTTAATCCAAAGTCGCAAACCTTCATCGTTCTAACCAAAAATAATCTAAAAGTCCAACGCCAAACCTTTAATTATTCTAGGGAAACCCTTCATCATTCTAACAAAATATTAGCTACGAACAAGTGTTGTAGTCGATCTCAACTAAATCGATCCTATGCTCAAATAAGAGCAAACTTCGTAATAATTGGTCATTATTGACTCGCCACCGCTAGTCTCAACCAAATCGATATTCTAGTTAACTAAAAGCAAACTTGGATATCATTGATACTTATTAACTTGTCACTACAATCTCATTCAAAGGAGGAAGAAGGAGATTGGGTTTTCCCTAATCTAGGGGAGTGAAGATTCTTACCTCTCAAGGGAGATTCAAGCAAGGAGGAAGGAAGATTTTCATTGTGTGTTTTATTGTGTGTTTTATATAATATTTGAAGTATCACCCATGAATGATTGGGTGTGGCTTGCATTATCTCATTATTGGGACAAATTAACCTAGAATGTGGAAATCCCCCTTTGGCCCATAGGGAGCTTGATCTCCTATCCACTTGGGTAACCCCTTTTGGGTTAATTTATGGCCAAAACCTCAAGTATCGGAGTAGTACCATGATCCCATCATGATTGGTCGCTCTCTGTCATCCTGATTGACTTCCGAGGGTTGGGTCTTGCAATCCTTAGTTGATTAGTTAAGATGGCTAGATTTCCTAGCCTATTGTTGTCATCCTTAGCCGAAAGGTTAAAAGAGTTAGTCTACTAACTTAATGCAACAATCCTTAATTGGTCGACTAAGAGAGTTAGGTTTTCCTCTGTTAGTTCGATTAAGAGAGCTAGGTTCCCTAGCTTATTGTATCAATCCTTGATTGATCTACTAAAAGGGCTTGTCCCTAGCTTGTGGCACCCGCCTCACGGTATATAAACACATCCTTCACACTAAGGTTCCGTTCATTGATTCTTAGCAGAAGACTAGGGGGAGCAATACCCAAGTAAAGTCCTCTCATACAGAATTCTATTCGATTTAATTTCCTTGTTTATGTATTTTGTAGTTTTCTTAGTTTTAGACCCAAAACCGTTTGCTAGATAACAACCTAAGGGATTGAAGTAGGGGTACATGTACCGGACCGGGTTTGACAATTAAAACATACTTGCCCTATTATGCACACGGCTAGAGTTTATGTGTGGGCTCTACTCGTGATTTAAATCGCGGTGTATTTGTGGCGAGTCAAAGGGGATGAGGGACGTGTAAAGAAGGAGTGATCATGCCAAGCGTCCAGCAGCACTGCCGAGACTCTTTGTTTGTTTGTTGACTTTTTGTTACTTCCAAACAAAAGGAAAAAATGTAGGAATCAACTATAAGATATTCATATTCATTTCATGTTTAGCGACTTTGTGAGTTTGTGTAGTGTCTAATGTCTAGTGTGTTCTTTTAGTGGGTGGTTTGTTAATTGACTTTTTGGCTAGTGTGTTCTTTTAGTGGGTGGTTTGTTAATAGACTTTTTGGATTTTTTTTGTCGTAGGATAAAACCTTCTCGTGGTCGTAAAGGGGACAATACAAAAGGTAGTTCGCTTCCTCCTTGAAGCACTTCCAAAAAGGGTGGCATTAGTGGTCGACTTACATAACAAGGGAATGCCTCATCATCTAGTACACCTATCGCCAACATAGTAGGTGGTACTCAATCTGCACCTGCAACTGTAGCTGCAACACCTTCAGCTACAAATGAAACTAATCCAATTTTTGCTCCTACAGACCCTGTAGATGGAGAGGTTGTGCCAAAGAGAAATGTCAAGGGAGGTGGAAGGAAGAAGACATCAAAGTGGTGGGTTCTTTTTATTGAAGTGTTGGTGGATGGGTACCCACATAGAAAATGCAAACAGTGTGGAACTTTGATCAAAGCTCACTCAAGTCTAAATGGGACCACCGGTTTGAAAAACCATCACTTGGCGTGCGAGAGGAAGAGGAAGGAAGTCAGTGGTCAATCAATATTGAACTATCAACCTAGGGATGGTGAGGTAGGCTCTCTTACTCCATGGAAGTTTGATCAATAGAAAGCTAGAACTACATTAGCGATAATGGTAATCTTGGATGAGTTGCCATTTCGATTTGTTGAGCATGAAGGTTTTAAGAGATTTATGGCGGTAACTCAACCATTGTTTGTGATACCTGGAAGGTAGACAATAAGAGGAGATTGTTATATCATCTTTTTGGAAAAACGAGTTGCTAACTAATTAAGTTCTTCAATTCCAAGTGCAAAGGAAGAATTTCAATCACCACAGATACATGGACTTCTGATAACAACCAAAATTTTATGTGTGTGACTGCTCATTTCATTGGAAATGATTGGAAGCTACAGAAGAGGATCGGTAGCTTTGGTCCCATCGCTAGTTACACTAGCAAGGATATTGTAGAAAAATTGGCCGCATGTCTACAAAACGGAAAGCACAACATTTGTTCTGCATTACAATGGACAATAATACTTCTAATTATATCCTTGCAGAGTGTATGCAAACAAAGATGAAAGAGTGGGGATCATATTTGCTTGGTGGAAAGTATTTTCAATTTCGATGTGTGCCACATATAATCAATTTGGTTGTGTTAGATGAGTTGAACAAGTTTGGAGTTGTTGTAGAAAGGGTTAGAGATTGTGTGAAATGGGTGAAGTCATCACCTGCTAGAAGTGCAAAGTTCAAATCTAGCATTGCATTTTTGGAAATAGATGGAAAGAGAGTTGTGTCTTTGAATGTTCCAACTAGGTGGAGCTGAACTTATTTGATGTTGTAATCTACAGATAGGTTTGAGCTTGTGTTTAACTTCATGCATTCAAGTCCCAATGATACTGCATTTCGGGATTATATGGACTTAAAGAGAGGTCTTCCAACTAAGGATTATTGGTGTAGTCTTCGTCTACTAATGAAGTACTTGAAGTTCTTTTATGAGCTCACCTTTCGCGTAACGGTTATGTGACCTCCATCTATTCTAATTCATGATTTGTATTAATTTGTAAATAAATATTTATTCAATTGAATTTGATTGAATTATTACTTATATATTTACTTTGTTGTTTTGGATGTATCAGGAACATCTTATATGACTGCTCATACTTTCTTCAAGGCTATTGTAGATATCTATGAAATGATATAACTTTTCAGAAAGACATGGATGAAAAGATACAACGGATTGCTGAAAGAATGGAGGTAAAGGGGGGAAAAAGATTTGGTTTGAGAATGATGATGATGGTTGTGAGGTAGAGAACCTAAGGATAAATAGGTTGGTTTACATGGCTTGTGTGCGAGATCCTAGGCGTAAAATGACTTATTTGTCTTGGATGTTGGAAGTGATGTATGGGAAGTCGACAGGGGAATTTTTGACAAAAAGAAGTACTTGCAGAGATGACTGCAATGTTTGAGGAATACATATTGAAGTATGCACCTTAACCCTCTGAGCCTACTGTTCAGACCACCCCTACTAGTGTTGATGATAGTAATGGATGTGTATCTTATGGAGGAAATTTTATGTTGAATTCAAGAAAAGGAGGAATGAGCAATTGCTGAGAGGGATTCAAGATTGTTCTCAGCTAGACATCTACTTAAGAGATGGAGATGATGCTATTAACGAGGATGATAATGATATGAAGTTCGACATCTTGTTGTGGTGGAGTAAGAAGAGTGTTAGATATCCCATTCTTTCTGAGATGGTTAAGGATATCCTAGCTGTCTTAGTCTCCTCTGTTGCCTCCGATGCCACTTTCAGTCGTAGAGGTTGAGTGCTCAGTCCATTTAGATCTTCGTTGAGCCCCACCATTGTAGAGGCCTTGATTTGTGCTAAAAATTGGATCAGGTATGAAGGTGGTAAGAAAGCAAACAAAGTTGATGATAAATAAAATGAAGATCAATGCCAAATTGATTATGAATGTGGTAAGAATTCATAATCTTATTTGTTTTTAAGTATTCCATTACTCATTTTTTAATAAAATATTATTAGATGAATTCTACAATTTGTACTTTTTAACACTTAGTCACTCCTAACTTCCAAGCTCGAATGAAAAGTGTAATGCTATGCCAAGTGAAAGTGAAAGACAAAATTTAACTGTTGAGGTGGAGGATGATGGTGATGATGTTCTTCTCATCATTTTGAAGCAGCAAGGTTGTGCTGATGTTGGTGGTTCATGTCCTAGTGGAGAAGGAGCTGGTGGTGTTAGTGTTGTTAGAGACTTGTGTTGATATTAGTGTTGTTAGAGACTTGTGTCGATGTTCAATGAGCAGCTAGGTACTATTATTTTTTCAGTTTTTAGAATTGTTTTAGGTGCAACGACAACTTTTAAGGTTTTACTCAGAGTTAGAAATAAGATTTATTAGCTATCTCTTCCAAAAAGGTTACTAGTATATCTCTACACAATAAATAAAAACCAAATGAGAAAACTTGAAGCCTCATTTCAAATGTCCTGCATCCATAGTGAAAGTATGAAGGGTAGATTCGTCTTCACAGTCATTTATTATTTTCTTATTCACATAAAGAATATATCAGTAATGAGATTTGAATCGTGGTCTCTTCGAACAAAGATTAGAAACATAATCAATTACAATAAACACATTTGTGTGATCTTTTTTAATTAAAAAAATATAGGAAGCTTAAATCTGAAAAATCATAGGACTTTTCCACCACGGTTAGCAACCGAAATGTCATTGATTCAAATATTGCATATCGAATTGCACTCTTGAATGTGTAGAAGCGATATAGAATTTTTAACATAGACTTAATTGTTATAACTACTATAAAGTAACGATATTTTTAAACACATAACTTTTGAGTGAATATGGGCACATGTGTCTTTAAGAGAGGGGTAAATATAGAAAGGTTGAGTGATGTTGGTTTACCGAACGCGGATGGAAAAAACACTACTAATGTAAATGGGTCCAAATAGCGCCCCCACCCACTAAACGATCAACCATCGACATCTCTCCAAACTTCCTATCATACTCAACAACCGGCTAATCTCCTCTACCTCTATTGTTACACCAGAGAAATTTTTGGAGGGTAAAATGGAAAGATTGAGTGTTGTTGGTTTGTCCAACGTGGATGGAAAAGGCACTACTAACGTAAACGGCCCAAATAGTGTCCGACCCACTAAATGCTTAACCACCCGGGTTACTTTCGCTACACCTAATATAATAGTGAAATGGAAAATGTGCTTTCATAGCAAAAGTAGGAAGGTAGATTCGTCTTCACAATCATTTATTATTTTCTTATTTGGAAAAATAAATAAGTTATGGGATTTGAATTGTGATCTCTTTGAGAAAAGATAAGAAACATAACTAGTTACACTAAACAAATTTGTTTGAACTTTTTAAATTAAAAACATACAGATACAGGAAACTTAAATCTGAAAAATCATTGGAATTCCATCA